TTAGAAAAAAAAAACCACAAAAGCAGGACACAACAAATAAATGTACACTCATTCCACATCCCAAAGCTTTCGGTGTGTCCTGGTTCAAGGTGCCAAGCAATGCATGCAAGAAAGAAAGCACTCTGTTCAAAGACCTTCGGTGGATATTGCTATATCCAGCAGCGGTCCCTTTTGATGCTAGTGATGGCTGGTTTGGTGGTTTCAGAAACCCTGCTACAACTTCAAATCCATAAAAGAATTTCCAGTGGTGATACAGAAGTTAATTAAAGAAAGGACATACACAGCATCAAATTTCCAATTTTGATGAAACAGGTATCTGTTATAAAGGCATGCCTTAAAGGACTTTCATCTGAAAGGCAGAAAAATATGCCCCGGGATTTAAGGTTGCAATAGATGGCTCAACTGTGATGTTCAGTGCCAATTCTGAACATAGAACACTGAACCACACTCCAGCACATCTGGTCCTACAATTTTCCAATCAGTTTCAGATAATCCCCTTCCACCCCTTCACGAGAACTCCCAGAAGCAGTGCTTCTGCAGCCCACTCCCACAGGTGAACTACTGGTTATTTCCAGGGCAAAGAGCCATGTTTATTACATGACTGAATTATGTATTCCATAAGCTTTTAACACAAGTTCAACTGTACTTGTAGTTTTGATGTATCCATGAAAACTTTTTTGAGTGTTATCCTTTCCTTAAGCCCTGTGATTTTTATTGTGCAGTTTCACATAGCACAATGATTTTTTTTTTCAGGACACGTATGTTCATTAAAGCAGAATTGACTAGACTTGATTATTATCTAGGGATGCCATGGTCTTCAAATATTTGGAATACCATAGATTGAGGATTTTACATCTGATGCTCCCAGAACTAAATTTCTAATTATTTCACCATGATTTGTTTCACCACAATTCTTGTCACCTGTGTTCATTGGTGTCTCCATCCTTCCATTTTCTCAGCCTGAAAACCCTGCAATTATCCTCCATTCCTCCTCATCTGACCTCATCTCATGATGATTACCTTCAAAACACATCCACCTGCCAACGTCTCCACCGGTCCCAAGTCCTGGATTATTCCAATGGCCTCTAAACTCATCCTCTTCCTCTGCTTATCCTGGCCTAAGGCTACTTTAAAACCAGGAGCCTATAACAGCTCCTGTAACAGATCATAGCACTTCTCCTTGCCCCTCCAGTGGCTTCCCACCCATTCTGAGTAAGAGGGACACAGTCTACACAGCCCTCTGCCGACATACCCACCACTCTTCCTCTGGCTCAGGCCACCCAACGGCACTGCCAGGGCCCTGGCCATCCCTCACCTGTGCCACATATTTTCTTTTCTCCCAAAGGTTCTGCTTGAACTGACCCCTTCCCCAAATGGGATTCACCCAGGCACCTGCATGGCTGGCTTATTCTGTCACTCACCCTGGGTCTTTGCTTACATGTCACCTTCTTAGCACACTATTTAAATTTGAGCACCTTCCTCCAGTATTGCCAATCCCCTTGCCTGCCTTATTTTTCTCAATAGCATCATAATGTGTCTTCCTACGTGTTTCTTGCTTTGTTTACCAGCTTCCTCCACTGGAATATGGTCCCTTGAAGACATGGATTTTTTTCCCTTTCCTATTCACTGCTGTAACCCTAGATCCTAGGACAATGCCTGGGATAGAACTTATTGAGTAATAAATATTTGTTGAATAAGTGAAGTAAGGGTTTGGTCTCTTTGTCAAACAGAGGAATAAGAAGTCACAAGGAGGCTCCACTTGAGAAATAGTCAACCAGTCATGCAAGGTGTTTGGGGAGACAGGAAAATTCTCTGTAACTGGAAGTGTTTTGGGGGAGGGGAGTTGCCAACCACAAACAGGTGTTGTGGTGGGGGTACTGGCACATGGTAAAGCACCAAGGATAAATGATACCCAAGGTCCCGACCTACAATGGAAGTCCACGCTTCCCACTATTTATGTTAGATTTCTCACCATTTGCATTCATTTCTCAGAAAGGACTAGAATGAGCCCCATTTTCTTTTGATCACTTAGTAGTACAGGTAAGAGGTTATGTTATGATGAAAATGTCCTCTACCACATGAGCTACCTCTTACCTATCCCCCTTGCTTCAAAGGCTGTGGGAACCATCAAGTAAGATACTTATGAAAGCACTTTGAAAGAATAACACGCTCAGCAGAAATGTAACATAGATATGGCATGAAAACCCTCCTATGCAAGGAGCCCTCTGCTCAGCACCTTTTTAAAAAATACACAACCTCTTTATAGCAATACCACAGAATGAGGCCTCCATTTATGAGGCACCAGGGCACAATTGCACTTTTTTTTTATACCAAAGCTATGCTAAAAACAAAGGTTCTGATTTGTTCCCTGGGATGAGGAAAGGGTACAATGGTAGTTCATTGCTGTTGTCATAAACATTGTGACAGTTGAATTAATGTTCCTCAATATCAGATTAATACCAATATACTATCAGTATTAATCTTAAGAAACTATATCAAGATTTTCAAACTTAATTTTACATGGGGGGTGGAATATCTCTCTCTCTCTCTCTCTCTCTCTCTCTCTATATATATATATATATATATATATATATATATATACACACACACATATATATACACACATATATATATACACATCCACACACACACACATATATATGTATATATGTATATTTTTTCCCCACTGAAATAAACTTCGAGGAGGCAGAATAGCTATTCTGAGACGCACATGCCACCAAATGTAACCAAACCAGGAAACTCTGAGAAACTCTAAGACACAAGTCTGCAAACGCTCTCTCTTCCATCTTGGCCTGCATGGTTTGAAGGAAAAACTCACTCCTGACATTCTATTGCTCTTTGCTGCTTTCTTGTCTTTCTTGTCTACTCTCAGAGACAACTGAGCAGCCAGAGGTGCAGAAAAGCCCCGAGTCTCCAGCTACTTCCAACTGCCTTCACTGGGGTGGGTTCTCCCAGGGGAGGGGCTCCAAGAAAGAAACCACAAATGAGTGCTCACGAGTTGTGGGAACTTTCAACCTCACTTTCCTAATTTTCTAAGGTACGGAGAGCTCATCCTCAGACTGCAGGGTTTTTGAAGACCAGCCTTTGTGGGGGCTGCCCAGACACTTGCTCTTGGCTGGAAGAGGAAATAGGTTTCCCTCTTACAGATGATGCAGAACTAATGAGCGAGGGCATTGTCATGGTGCTGTCCGTTACCAGCCCGTGTGGACAAACCAGGGCATCTGGTGTTCAGCCAGAGGAGGAAGGCCTTCCCTCCTGCATGGACAGAACACAGAGACCCACCAGAGACCACTGCGACTGGACTCTGAGGGCAGCCTGTAGTCATCCCTGGGCCAGTGGCTGAGGACTGACTGTCCTTCAAAAGCCTTCCAGGGAGTGATGAGAAAATCCCCAGGAAGCCTGGGTGAGCCATGGAGCCCTGAGCTGCCTCCTATTTGCATGCAGTTCAGGAGAAGGAGAAGCTGTTAAAGGCAAAGATTTGAGCTGCACTGGGAGCTTTGGCCTTTTCAGTGGAGGGACCCAAGAGACTGCCTGTCAAACAGAAGTCTGTTGCTAAAACCACCTCGCTGAGAAAGCTGAGGGAGTCAGGGGGGCTGAGGCTGGAGAAAGGGGGAGTCGCAGGAAGGTTTGACTCACCTCCACCAAAATACAGCAAGAGGGGAGGCAGATGAGGGCAGAGAGGGAAGGAATAAAGGAATTCACGTGGCTCTGTGTCTCCAAAAGCATTTCCCCCTGGACAGCGTGCTGTGGAGATGCATATATATATTTTAAATTCATTAATTCAGTTTTACAAATAAGAAAGTGGGTTTCTTTCATTTCCCCTGATTCCATCTTCCCTGTTCTCCATTCTCCCCGATTCTCTCCATGGTGATCCCCCTGCGAGGCAGGCGTGGGGGAGCAGAGCTGAGAAACGGTGGGGTACGCTGCTACTTCTTTGCTCTCTCTCTCTCTCTCTCTCCTTTTTAAAAATCGCGTCAAAGCCCCTTTCCTTCAGTAATCCTTGATATTCCCTGAGGAGCTGAGTTAAGATTTAATTGTGAAATTTGCATAGTAACTCAGCAAATAAATTCTCCCGTCTCTCATAGACCTTTCACTGCAGAGGGCCGTTTTAGTTATAAATCACTTATTTCGAGATCTCAACTGCATCAGCATTTTGTGCCCCTGAGGAATGTGGAAAGGGGAAGAAAATCCAATGACATGCAGAGTTAGCGTTTGGCTTTCATTTCTTGGTGTAGGGCAGTGGGAGGCAGAGGCTGGATGGGGACAGAATAACAAGTGCCATCTTTGGACCTGTGGCTCCTCCAAGGAAAACCTGTGTGGGAACAGCCTGGCTCCCCAACACATCCATCCGAGTCACCCTTCAGCCCACGGCAAGCTGGGAAACCCGAAAAGATTTGCAGAAAGGGCACAAAGGTAGGACAGTGTGCTGGTTCCCTGCCGTTGACCCCTGCTGAAATCACGGACAGCCAGTTGACCCTGGTAAAATGTGTGGTGCTGGATCTGCAAGTACTCCTCCAGGGAGGGTCAGGAAGATCACAGAGGACAGTGTGTCCCAGCCTTGTCTAAGTACAGCTGAGGTCTTGGCTCCCATTTGGGACTCACTCTAGCAATGAGGTTTGTTTTGTTTTGTTTTCTTCCCCCTTTTCTTGGGCTGAAAATATTCTGGATCATTTCAGAATGTTCCAGAATGTAAATATGGTTGTTTGGTTGAATCAAATAAAAACAATTTCACCAGAGCCCAGAAATCTCTTCTATAGCATCTTTGCCTATTTTATGTTGGCATCACAAGGAGCTTCCTCTCTCTGGCATGCATCCAACACAAGCAGGCTTTAGGTTATCGAGGGCGGTCGCAGAGCAAGCCCGGGTTATAACAATGGAGAAGGAAACCCAAGGAAGGTACAAGAAAGTTTAAAGACAGGGGAAGGAGAAGCGGCTTTGATTATTCACCCTGGGAATCCAAACTCTCTGTCCAGAGATAACAAACGTGAGTGGTGCTGAATGGAGATGGCTACTGGACCTGTCTTGTATCTCTTGTCCCTTAGGAAACCCTAGCAATCCTCTTGAGACAAGATCTTGTGTGGATTATCAGAGGTTAAGCTGCTAATCAACCAAGATGTGATCATCTCCCTTTAAAGAATATTGCTACTCTTGAAGAAAAAAAAATTTAAAAAGAGCAAACAGGAATTTTATGCAGATAACTTACATTCACCTAAAAACGTGAAGATTGCTGATCAAACGCAAGCCTGGTAGTCATATTTCCTTCAAACAACTGATTTCAGTTCCTTATTTATTCTGTAGCTGATCAAAACATGGTGCCCTAATTTTCAAGTTATGCTTGTCAGCCCCAGGAGATCAGTGAAAATTTAAATTCCATAGATGAATCAACAAGTCGACGTATCTCTGCAGATGCATATCTTCCCACTGACATGCACCAAGTGGTCCTTCAATATAAGAGTTGCCTTTTCGTCTCCAATTGGAGTCAATGAAGGATTCAATCTAAGCTGCTTTTTTCTCCTGACTCTATAATCACATCAACAATAATGTTCCCCAAGAAAATGTTATCGCAGAAATTATAATGAACATAATGTAGGTGGTTAGATAAACAATACTTATTTTAAACCAACACCTGACTAATGAGTGAAGTACTAGTAATGTTACATTACAATCAGGAATAAGAAAGGTACCTAATCTACTGCTAATAATTATTGTTTTGGAAATTATAGCTAATATAATGAAACAGAAAAACTCAAGTAGGTATAAACATCAATAATGGGAGATAATGTCTATAAGTTACAGTGGTACAATTATTAAATGGGAGATTCCAGAAATAAACAATTTATACATTTTCAGTTGCATGCAGTTCGGAGTGCGGTGATGAAATCCTGGGCCTTCCTGCTCCATCCGCCTAGGTTGAGAACCGTCCACCTGTCCCCACCATATACACTATCCTTTCATTAGACAGTCACCACATGTGCTGCTGTTGTATCGCAGGGCTTGTGTTCAAGGAGCCTTATTTTTCTGAATAATAACCCCCAAACACAACAGTAGTGTTGCTGGCAACTTGGACACACCCAGGAAAAATCATGGAGTGCTTCAAGTGAAAACCTGGAAGCTCTTGACTTAAAAAACGACAACAACAACAACAAAAAAACAGTATAAGCTGAAGTTGCTAAGACCTACAGTAAGAACAAATCTTCTAACAGCAATATCGTGAAGAAGCAAAAAGAAATGTATGACAGCATGGTTGACACACCCCATGCCACAAAAATGATGGCCACAGCGTGTGGTAAGTGCTCCGTGTAAAAGGGAAAGGCATTAAGTGGTAGGCTATGGTGCTGCCCACAGTTTCTGGCATCCATTTGCATCTAGATTGTTCCCAGCTGATAAGGGCATACTGTATGTGACTGTACACCAAGGAAATCAAAATGATTCACCCCAAAGCAGTAAAACTAGTGTCACGATGACAAGAAAGTATGATAAAATAAAGCATTCCATTAATTTAGCAGTGAAAGTAAAAGCCTCAGAAAAATAAGATGAAATAGACATAGGCTGGAATAGCAGACAGAGGACAACCTTGCAAAACCCCAGAGCGCCCCACAGTCCCGAACCCCGAGAACAGACTGGGAGATTAGATAAAAGACGATACGCAAAACTGGATTTTCTTACCCCTTACTGGTACTCTGGCAAGTGGAATGTCGGACAGCCAGCCATTGAAGTCCACACCTTTGTAAAACCAGAAGACAGAGCTGTAGAAAAGACAGGGGTTTCCAGATAGAAGGAGCCCAGGAGGAGCCCCAACCCAATGAATCTCCACAGTCACAGGTAGCCTCGTCTGAACACCAAGGACAAGGAGACCATTCCCGCACCTTCCACGGGGAGAAACACGGGTCACAGAAATGGGAATTAGATGAGTATCTGTTGTCTCACCAGGAACTCTGTGTTCTAAAAGAGTTGTATTTAACCTAGAAGACTATGCCTAAGCACTCAGCCCTTAGCCTTGAGACCTTGTAGAGGGCTGAAGACACACTCTTAGAAGGGGTTTGGAACAATGTTCTCTGGCTCAGGGACACCAGACACCTCTTGGACCAGGTTTGGGGATCGTCTCAGAAATGGGGTTCAAGTGGAAGTTGTACACCAACAACAAGGGTCCCTGCCCCTTCTCTAGATGCCTTCCAGAATACTGGTAGAGAAACTTACTTTGTGCAGGAAGATGACTGGAACGTTCTTCTACAAGGGACTGATGGACCCAAGAAAAAAGACAAGCTAACATTTAGAGTGGCATCCATAGAAAGTTCAGGTCTCTACTCCAGTTCCCCAGGGCCCACCAATCAGCAATTCTGCATTTTTCTGTGCCTCACACTTATAGATAAACAGACACACAGGATAACCTGACATTTGAAGGAAACTACAACAGGAAAGAAAGACAGACACAAAGCCAAACAAGCTGAGAGGGTCTGGACATAAAGACATAATGACTACAGAGAGGAAGAGGGAAAATCTTCCAAAAATATTCTTACCAAGATAAGATATTCACCCATCAAATAACAATGGGAAGCTCTGAAGTTATTATTCAGTGAGTAAGAAAAATGCATGTGATGTTAAATTATGTTAGAAAATTAGAAAACACATCAATTAGAAGTATGAAAAATTAGCTAAGAAAATCTCACAAAAAGTAAGACAAAAAGACAAGGAAATTACCAACATGAAGAGATATAAAATTAGAAGTCCACAAATCTAAATATTAGAAATTTTAGAAAGAAAGGATAAAGAAAAATCAGGGAAGACATCATAAAAGATCTTGGTATTCATTTCTCCCTTTAGAAATACCATCAGTGTCCATTCCACTAAATTTAAAATAGCCCCACTAATTCATATATTTAAAAATTATTTTGAAAAGAAATCTTAGCAATTTGGTAGGGAGGAGGGAACAAAATAAAAACAGACCAGGAAAAGGCACCTGGAATGTAAAGAGACTGCTGGAAGACCTTGAAGATCTTCCTTCAAACTTCTATGATAAAGTATTCCTAATGTAGAATTCTGATGCATCCAAAATACCCATCAAGAGGAGTGTAGCATAAACAGATTTTTAGATGATACAAATTTATTAGTAGGATCTTAGTGTGTTCCTAGAACTTGTGCTTTACCAAACAAGAAGTAAAACAAAGGGCTGGGGATATAGCTCAGTTGGTAGAGTGCTTGCCTCATATGTACAAGGCCCTGGGTTCAAACCCCAGCACCACCACCACCTCCAAAAAAAAAGAAAGAAAGGAGGACACTGGTGAGATTCAGTCAATGATCAACAGAGGTACCAGGAATTTCCAGACGATATGTTCAAGGAAGACTCAAAAGGACAGCCACACGTCAGGCCCAGGGAACCCTCAGTCCAGACAGACAGGAAGACTTTCTGAGACAGATTGAGGTTTTGAGAAGAGTTCACAGTTGTGTGGATGGTTTAGTGATTAATTGATTAAAAGTTTACAGATAAATACATGAAATAATGTGTAAGATTCAATAGAACAGGAAACCCCAAGTAGAAATTTACCAGGAATTTCGAATCTGGTATTCAATATGAACAATGTTTTACATGAACTCTGATCAACTCCAGGGCCAAAGGCGTGAGTTGTGATTCCATCAGACTCCTCTGAAAGATGTGATGTGTGCTGGAGGGGACAGATTCCTGGAAACTTCATGGATCTCCAGCATAGGAAGATGACCTCAGCATTCAATGTAGAAGAGGCAACTAGCTGCCCCTTTGGTAAGAATGGAGAGGGTGGCTGTTTGTTTACCCTGGTAGAGTGACAGGTGCTACTGAACATAGGTGCCTCCGATTTGTAAACCAAGCATCTATGAATATGACTCTAACTCTGTTTAATAGGTGTCTTCTCAGGTATCTCTGATCTCCCTTCATGAAATAGCAATCCCTCATTCCCCATGCCTCTTTCTCAGCGTGGTTCTGACTTACAAACTGATTGTCCCTGATTGAGAGATCGTTCTGTTCAGTCACTGTCTGAGCCCCTCCATTCCAATCAGGAGTGAATATCTGGAGGTCCAAGACTTGGCTTTTATTTGTGGTGGAACTGCTGGCACTTAGACTCACACCTAGAATAAATAGCAATTAAACAAGGAATCCAAAACATATTCTAAATTGGACATTTTATTATTTATGGGGTTGATATTTGTTTATTTTAGGGTAACTTTTTCCACCTTGACTGAGATACAATTGATAAATTTTGTGAATGATCGAGGTATCTGATGTCATGTAATATGTCCACATCATGAAGGATTGCCACAATCAAATTAATTAACACATGCATCAGCTTACATGGGTTCCAACATTTTGTGTGGTGGGAATACCTCAGATCTGCTTCCTTAGTAAATTTCAAGTAGACAATATAATATTTTTAACAAGAATCCCCACACTGCAAATCCCAGAACCTATTCATCTTATACTCAAAAGTTTGTATTCTTTGTCTGACATCTATTTCCCATCCCCATTCCCTGGCAACCACCATTCTACTCTGCTGCTTCTTCTGTAAGTCCCATTACTGTACATTCTATATTCTGTAAAAGTGACATAATACAGTCTTTGTCCTTCTGTGCCTGCCTCGTTTCCCTTAGCATGGTAGGATTTTCTTTTCTTTTTATGGTTGAATAGATTGGATTATATCTAGATACCACTTTTCTTCATCCATTCATCTGTCGATGGACACGTTCCTCATTTCCATAATTTGGTGATTGTGAACATGCTGGAATGAAGGTAGAATTGTAGATAGCTCTTGGAGATACTGATTTCACTTCCTCCAGATACACACCCAGAGGTGGGATTGCTGGGTCATATTGCAGTTCATGTTTAATAGGTTGAGTAACCTTCATTCTGTTTTCCATAGATGCTACACCATTTCTCACTCCTACCAAGGGTACACAGGTTTCCTTTTCTCCATATTCTGGATAGAGCTTGTTATCTCTTGTTTTTTTGATCATAGCCACCCCAATGTGTGAAGTGATTTTCATTGTGGTTTTGATTTGCATTTCCCTGATAATTAGTGTTGTTGGGTATTACTTGTTGGCTATTTATGTGTCTCCTTTCTTTTTTGTTTTGTTGGTGCATTATATGTCTTCTTTTGAGAAATGTCCATTCAGAACTTTTGCCTGTTTTTAAATTAATTATTTGTTCTTAATATTTTTGAGATTTCTTTAACATATATTTGATTATTAACTCCCATAAGACACAGGATGTGGTTTGTGATTTTTTTTTGTTAATGATAGAAACAACCTATGGTTGCTTTTTCATTTTATTATTTCTTTTGCTGTTCAGAAGTTTTTCAGTTAGATATATATATATTTTTAAATCTTTGCTTTTGTTGTCTGTGGTTTTAGTGTCATAATCAAAAACATCATTGCCAAGACCAATGTAAAGAATCTTTATTCCTATCTTTTCGTCTAGGAGTTCTACAGTTTCAGGTCTTACATGTAAATCTTTCATCCATTTTGAGTTCATTTTTGTGTATAGTACAATATAAAAATCCAATTTCATTGTTTTTCCTTGTGGATACCCATTTTCCCATTGAAGAGATTATCCTTTCTCTGTTGTGTATTCTTGGCATCCTTCTCAAAGACTATTTGACCACATATGTGTATTTCTGGGCTCTGTGCTGTATTTTGGTCTATTGGTTTATGTGTCTGTTTTTATACCAGTACTGGAACAGTGTTAATTACAATAGCTTTGAAATATATATGTAATCAGAAAGCCTGGTTTCTCCCACTTGGTTCTTCTCTCTCAAGGTTACTTTGACTATTAAGAATAGTCAAAGTTAGCTTTTGGTTATATATGAATTTTAGGACTTTTTTCCTATTCCCATGAATATGTTATTGGAATTGTAATAGTGATAGCATTTAATCTGCAAATTACTTTGGGTACTTTGGATATTTAAACAATCTTAATCCTTCCAACCCATAAAAACGGGATATTTCCATTTACATGTGTCTTTTTCTAATTCTTTTCATCAATATTATAATTTTCAGTATACAACTATTTTATCTCCTTGATTAAATTTATTGCTACATATTTTACTCTTTTTGATACTATTGGAAATGAGACCATGTTTGTAAGTTCTTTTGGGGATAGTTTATTGTTAATGATAGAAACATGGCTAATTTTTGAATGTGTTATTTTATCCTGCAACTTTACTAAATTAGTTTATTTGTTCTAACAGATTTTTATAGAGGTTTTAGTGTTTTCTATACATTAGATCATGTGATCTGCAAACAGAAAAAAGTTAACTATTTCCTGTCTAATGTGAATGCCTTTTATTTCTTTTTCTTGACTAATTGCTAGGTCCTAATGGCTAGGACTTTTTGTACTATGTTAAATAGAAGTGGTAAAAGTGGGCATCCTTCTTCCCTTGTTCCTGATCTTAGAGCAAAACTTTAGCTTTTCACTGTTGTATATAGTGTTAGCTGTGGGCTGGTCATATATTGCCCTGTTATGTTGAAGTACATTCCTTCTACGCATTCTTCATTAAAAATTTTTGTGATAAAGGATAATGAGTTCATTCAAATGCTTTTTCTCTATCTATTGAGATACATGAATTTCATTGTTCATCCTATTAATATGGCATATCACATTTATTAATTTTCTTACGTTAAGCTATCTTTGTATCCCAGAGATAAATCCAACTGGATCAGTGCATATGATACTTTTAATGTGCCATTGAACTCAGTTTTCTAGCATTTCATTAAAGATTTTTGTATCTATGTTCATTAAGGATTTGGACTCTTAATTTTCTTTTCTCCTGATATCCTTCTCTGATCTTAAATGGGTAAATCTGGCCTTATAAAATAAGTTTGGAAATGCTCTCTCCTCTTCATTATCTTTTTCAGAGTTTGAAGGAACGGTGTTGATGCTTCTTTAAATGTTCGGCAGAATTTACCCATAAAGCCACCTGATACTGGGCTTTCCATTATTGGGAGGCTTTTGATTGCCAGTTCCATCTTCTTACTCATTACTTTTCTGTTCTGATTTTCTATTTCTTCATTATTCAGTCTTGGAAAGTTGTACTTTTCTAGAAATTTATGTATTTCTTCTAGGTCATCTAATTTGTTGGCTTATAGCTGTTCATAGCAGTTTTATGATTCTTTGTAATTCTGTGTAATCAATTGTAATGTTTCCTCTTTCATTTCTGATTTTAGTCTTCTCTTTTTCTTAGTCTAGCTGAGATTTTATCAATTTTGTTTTGCTTTGCAAAAGCCAACCCTTAGTTTTGCTAATTTCTTCTTTTTATTTCTTGTCTTCATATCATTTTCATCTGCTCTAATATTTATTATTTCCTTCCTTCTGCTTGATTTGGGCTTAGTTCCTCTTTTTCTACTTACTTGAAGTATACTATTAGTTGGTTCATTTGAGATCTTTCTTTTTTCTTAATATACATACTTATCACTGTTAAGTTCCCTCTATGAACTGCTTTTGCTATATCCTGTAAGTTTTTGTATATTGGATTTCCATTTTTATTTGTCTCAAGATATATTTTGATTTTCCTTTGGATTTCTTCTCTGACTCATTGGTTGTAAAAGACGTACATTGTTTAAGTTCCATATATTTGTGAATTTCCCAATTATCCCCTTGTTACTGATTTTTAGTTTCCTAACATTGGGAGCAAAAGCAGCTTCATATGATTTTCAATCTTATTAACTTTATTAAGCCTTATTAAGTCTTGTTTGTGATATAATATATTCATATTAGGTCTTAAAGTATACTTTATAAGTTATTACATAAAATTACATTACTATTTTTATTTCTATTGCACTTTTTATTTTTGTCTGTTTTGATGATTTTTGCTTCTAAAACCAGAAGCACTGTGAAATTACAGTTTGACAAACTTTGAGCAGCTCTATGTTGTGGAAGAAAGTCATTCAATTCAAAATCTCATAGGACTCCACTATCATGAGATATCTGTCTTTCTAACCAAAACAACAATGTGTGAACATTGAGAACATGCTCAGACTGTACTCAAACTACAGATTTCTATCGTGAATAATAAATTATGTCAAAGGGCAAAAAAATTATTTATGTCTTCTTATGTCAGATTTGTATGTTAAAAAAAAATTCTAAATTTATGAGATCCTAGCTCTTGCTTTAAAGATTAAGCTAAGAAAACAAACAAAAGGATTTTGATGAAAGCATTTTGGATTGATGTTGAGGAAAAGATAAGACCCCAAAGAGCACAAATTTGCTCCGCTAACTAATGTGGCATGAGGACTGCTCGCAAAATTCTTGGGGAGGGCAATTCTTTTTGAAATGATTTTCACCCCCAGACCCCAGAATAAATTAAGAACAAAAAGACTGGTTCAGAATGCATGCAAATTTGGGGTGCACATTTGATTATGAATGTGAGCTTAGTTGACTTAAGCAATTCTGCTTTCATATTTCACTAATTAGGTAGGGGACAGTTCTGATTGTGATGAGATTGTCCCACTCCAGCTCAGATTTCCTAGGAGACACATTAATTAAAGCAATTCTCCTTCCTCCTGAACTGAAACTTTACGGAGGCTAAGTGTTCCTCCCCGACCCCCATCCTGTCACATACTCTACACCGTACCTTCCTCTTGAGAAAAAGAGTGACAGCATAAGATAAATAAACAAATAAATAAATAAGAGGCAGAAATAGCATTGCAACCCTGGTAAGTTTGTCTGAACATTTTTAGAATATTTCAAACAGAACAAATACAATCTAAAAGCAATGGCACAGAAAGATGTGA